CCTCTGCTCAGGAACCAAGCTGCAGGTTTGGAACCGGCTGGGCGGGCTCGTCCCTGCGGGAAGAGCAGCGATGCTGAGTTGGTGTCTTGTGGAGAGGAGGAAGAACAACACCCTCACCCCTTCATTTGTCCCATGGGGCTGATTTGGGAGCAGATATGAGGTGGAGCTGACAGGAATTGTGTCAGCAGTGCCAAGTGAAGGCTCCTGGGGCTGTCTGGGCTTGCGGAACGAGCCCGGTTTGGGTTTTATCCGAGGCTTTCCCTGCTGGGTCATTTCCTCCACCAGGCACGTTTGGACAGCCCAAAAGGAGAGGGAGCACAGACCTGGCAGCAGCTGCAGCTTCAAGTGCAACCAGCAGGTATTTTGCACTTTTGGCCTGTTTGATGTGCTTTAAGTATGTCAGGTTTTCCAAAGGAGCTGAGGTCTCCATCTGCTAAAAGTAATTTATGGCATTTCCTCTAGCAGCCAAGGATTAGTGTTTATTTTAAAAAGCAAACAAAATGTAAGCAACAAAATTTGCCTTTTTCTTTCATGAGAGCAAAGGCTCCATATGGAAAAGGCTCCAGGGAAAGAGTGACAAACAGCACTTCCCCGAAAAGGGAAGCACATTCTTTGTGGATATAATTTTGCCCCTAACAGAGCCATTTCTGTGGGGATTTTCTGAACATTTATCTGTCCAAATAAATCCTTGAGCGAGCAAGTTTCACCCTGTAAACTGCCTCAGTTTGGGGTGAGGACTCTATATTTCTATAATGGGACAGATTTTCTATTAATAATAGAGTGTCCAGAATGGAGCATCTTACAACTCATAAACCTACATGAAGACCTATATAAAACCCACATAAACCTATATAACAAACAAATTATATGCTGCACCCATGAAGTGCTTCTGCAATTACTCCTTTTCAAATAATGTAAGAGTGCTTGTCAACTTAATAAACACATTAAGCACTAAATGAGCAACATTTTTTTACATCAGGTAAAAAAATCAATGCATTTATGCTTTAAATATTTGTGGAGCTGTAACCATCCAAGTCAACAGAGGAGGATGGGAGTTTTTTACCTCTTCTTGCCTGTAATTATTTTACCTGTAATAAAATTCAACCAGGCCCCAGCCTGGTGTTAGCCCATTGAGTTTGAAATCTGCAATGCACTCGTGGAAAACTCCTCTCCCTGTCAGGCCATTGTACACCACGGGGCAGGCCTGCTTATCCAGAGCTGCAGAAACATCAAAGCTCTTGCCACCTTGAGAAGAGTAAAAAGGGAACAATGTCACCAACTTTCAGTAGTATTTTATCTCAAAACAATCCCAATATCTATTATTTTTGTGTATGGGGTTTTTTATGCTTTTCTGAAGAGTGATTGTTCTGCCTGCTTTGTAAATCAAGTAAAATGATCAACCACATTTCCAGCTGAATCCACCTCATAAGAGATGTTCTGACACCCCAAAAATGTGGAAATCCCTATTTTATGTGGACTAGCACAAACAGAATCTGTAACTCTCCCTCTGGATCCTGTGACCCTGACCCTGCCGTGGACACATTTCACCCAGGACACACCACAACTACAATTTCATTTAAGCAGGGAAGTGCCCATGGCAGTGGGGTTGGAACCAGAGGATCTTCCAGTCCCTTCCAACCCAAACCAAGATTTTATGGCTCTAGGCAGATTTCTCAGGGTGTAAGATGATGCATTCCCCAGGAACCTCACTGAACACTCCTTCCTCCACTAAAGGAACTGCAGGCCAAGAAATGAAGGCAGAGGCAGCTGGACTGTGTTGAGCTTACCAGCAGTAAAAGTGACTCCATACTCCTCCTGGATCAGCCCATCCTCAGCCAGCTCAGCCAGGGAGGCGTTGGACCACTCAATGCCAGCCTTCCTCCCATCAGGAAAAAACACATAACCTACAGTGAGGCTGAAGGGGACAGGAATGCAGCAGGTTTGAAGTTCAGCCAGAACTCAAATGCACCAGAACAATGGCAGAGAATTGGGACTTTAGTGCCTGGAGAAGAGAAGGTTCTGGGGACTTCTAACAGAGCTGGAGAGGGGCTTTGGGAAAGGGTCTGGAATGCCAGGATGAGGGGAAATGCTTCCCAATGCCAGAGGACAGGGTTAGATGGGACATTGGGAAGAAATTCTTCCCTGTGAGGATGGGGAAGCCCTGGCACAGGGTGCCCAGAGAAGCTGTGGCTGCCCCACCCCTGGAAGTGTCCAAGGCCAGGTTGGATGGGGCTTGGAGCAGCCTTGGGGCCATGGACATTGGTCTTTAACCCTCTGGATGCAGAGAACAGCAGTGAGCAAGGCAGGGCTCCTGTGGAATGCCCCACTGCAGCTGGAGCCCTCTCAAACAGCTGGGAGTGCCCAGATTGTACCTCTAAATCATCCAGACAGACAGACAGACAGACAGACAGCTCCATCAGCCCTCAGCAGCTGAAGGGAAGGGAAGCAAGGGAAGGTAAAAGCTGTCCTTGTGACTAACTGCAAATGAAAAATGAGGGAGTGGATGGAAATTGGGCTGTACAGGCTCAAAGCAGGAATTCACACAAAGGTGTCCTGCAGAGCAGCTTTTGCCACCTCTAAGATGAGTGGTTTTAGCAACATAAAGTCCTTTGGTCACTTACTGAGTTGTGGTAGCTGGCATGCTGATAACTGTTAAATGTGCTGCAGTCCCATCCTGCAAGAGAGAGAAAGAAAAAGCAGCCAGAGTTGTGCAGATTCATTTCTGAGGGTGCTTCACTGGCTGGACCAAGAAGACAGGATAGAACTCAGCCTGTGCAATGTGTTATGGCTTCACACTTTAAAATCCTCTCACTACATCTCCCATGAAAATCTGGCTGCAAACAAATCCAGGAAAATAAACCAAACACATTCAGGACAAATTAAGGACAATGGGAACAACAGACAGTCCACAGCAAGAGGACACAGGAGGGAAACAAAGCCTGCAAAGAAGAACAAAACTGGTGTACTATGACCAGACCTTTCTAACCTCTATTCACCTACGTCTGGGAGCAGCAGATTGGGAAAATATTAAGAAGGAACTGGAATCTCCTGGTTTTACTAATTTCTCTTCCATCCTTAGGTGTAGACTCTTCATGCTCCACTTGGGCTGCTCTGAGGCAAATTTAAAACTCCTCTGATGCTATAAATGCACAGACACTCAGGGTAAGAGGCCTTCAAGCTGCAATAAACTTCTTAATGAAGTCAGCTGGCTTTTAATTAGGGGCAGAACAGCCACAGTCACTTTGAGTCTTGAAAAACTGGACAAGAGGGAGAGGATGGTTATACACACTGTGGTGCCAAAGCTCAGTGTCAGTAAAAGAAACAGAGGCACATGATAAATCAGGATTTGTACAGAAGTGGGATTTTCCAAGCTGGGAGAAGAACTTTTATCCTGAATTCAGTCTAAACCCCTGTAATGCTGCCTATAATAGAGAGTTTTGATTTCTGCCTGGCTTGGCAAAGGAAATGCCCTTTCAGGAGCATCTGCTGGGCTGGGCTGGCAGCTGGCAGGGGCTGCCCTCAGCACGTCCCTGGGCTGTGTGCTCCCAGCAGCCACAGCTCTGCCTCTCCCCCACGCAGCACTGCAGAGAATTGTGGCCCAGCACAGGCAGAAATATTTGCTGACTGCTGTCATGAGGGCTCAGGATGCTTCAAACACCTCAGGCTTCCCATTAATGGGAATCAGCTCTGCAGCAGCTGCAGGGAGTGCTGGGTACTTGCAGCAGCTGAGAATCTCTCCTGCAAAGCTGCCTGCCTAATTTTTCTTGAAAGAGCCAAAATCAAACTGTTTCAAGTTATCAAACAAGTTTTGCTTCAATCAGTGTAGCAAAATCTCAGTTTTTACACACACAGCTCTGCTTTTGAGAGAGAGCAAAAGCCCTCAACACTGATCTGGGCTAATGGTGCCACCAGTGAGAACTTTCGATGTCCACCATGGATGTCCTCAAATCCTTATTTCTGGATACTTAAACGTGCCTGAAAAGCTCAGAAAAATTTCCTGCATTGCCATGTTAATACCTACTTCAAAGTGTGCCAAAATCATCACATAACGACGAATCTCAGCCCAGTTCCGGACACCTGCAAAAAAAAAACCAAAATCCCTCAAGCTGGAGTTTCACCATTCCTGGAGAAATGTGAACTAACAGTACCTGACTTCACAATAAAGAATATATCCAAAATAATAAATAAATATCCAAAAAGATATTTCTTTTTGGATAAAGAAATATTCAGTCATTGATAACATGATAAGCAATGTATGTCCCCAGAAAATGATGGTATTTCCTCTGGAATGTCTTTATTTCATGCCCAGGCATGGAAATGGTTATTTTAACAGCTAATCCTTCAACTCACTGCCCTGCCAGTGCCAGCTACACTGAGAGCATTCCCAAGGCAGGGAATTCTTTCCAGTGCTCTTACCATAGGAGTGGCTCCGAATGCCTTGGAGGGAAAGTTCAATTTTCCCAGAATTTTCTATTTCAATCTCTCCAACAGACTGGCCCCACTGCTCGTGTCGGAAATGCTGCTCCCTTTGTCTGAAAGAAAGAAAGGAGTGGGTCAGCACAGAAAAGAGATCCAGCTCTCCTCAGGAATCTCCTCAATGCTAATCTGATGGATTTATCTCCCAAAATGAAGGAAATTTCAGAGCATCTGGAGCATGGCTATCCCAGATTTTACAAACCACTTCTACATTTCCCGGTTACTGTTACATAATGAGACACCTGAGAATGAAACAGCAGCAAATCCTCACCCTGACAGAACAGAAAATCACCCTTTGTTTGAAGAAATGCTGGGCTGCCAAAGAGCTGCTGCTTAGAACTCAGCAGGTATCACCAAAACACACACATTATTGATAGACATAATTACACACCATTGATTCTCATATTTTTAGCTCTCCAGAGCTTTTGTAGTATTTTAAACACCCACTTCAGCTCCTTTCTCATAGGATTATATTCCTTTTCTTAGCTATATGTGGATCATTGACTTGGAAGCTGCCTAAATCCATGAAAACAGAAAGAATAAGAAATATTCCTGATGCTGAGGGCTTCACTCAGATATCTGTGTGCAGGATCCCCCAGGTGTGGTGTGGCATTGAAACCAAGAGCCATGTCCTTTATTAAAACACTTCTAATTAAACCTACCTTCAAATTCAACTATAACACACATCAGACCTTGAAGAGAGCTGTAGAAAGATTATTGTTAACCCCAGAAGAAATTAATCTTGCCCCTCACTTTCTGACCCTCTGGAAGAGCTCGATGGTCCAAGGCTCCTGGGCTAAAGCACGAGCAAATGTGCTGGGGTTACTGTCAACATTAAAGTTAAAAACATCTGTGGAGTTCTCCCACCTAGAAAAAGAGAGAGGGAAAAAAAAGATATTATTAGCATTCAGCTCATACAAGGCCAAGTTGTGCACTTGCTACTTTGACAGAGGCAATCTTTGTATTTTATTGGAAAATCCTGATTTTTGGCATTTTAAATGAGCTATGAGCTTACTGTACATCCCAAAGCAAAGCTGAAAAACTTACTGCAAAGAGAATTTAACTGGTACAAGCTCTCCTTCCTCCTCACTCCACTGCTGTCTGTAGGATCCTTTCCTGCAAGGCAAAGCACTATCATTTTATATCACTATAATTTTATATTATATTATAATTTTGTTTATATCCTAAACAAACAACAAAATGTTTCTTGCATGTTTGGAATTGAAACAGAAGAATCTATAATACTCTACACCACCAGACTTATTTTCATTCCTTAAAAATCAAAGTGTCTCAGTTACCAAACAGCTTTTGGTTCAAGCTGGTTAAATTTAAAATAAATTAAATTTATTTCTAGATAATGCTGAAAAGGTCTTGGGTTTATGTGTAGATAAATGAAATTAGGGAGTGCTGCAGTACCTGAGTAATCCATCAAAATTTATCTTCCAGCACATTTGGGGCTCCAAGTATTCCATAGTGAGTCCTCCTCCACTCCAGATCTCTTTGGATTCATCTCTCACCATCATGTTTGGGTGCTGTGGGTGCTAAAAAAAGGAAATATTGGAGGAAAACATTTGCTTAATTCAATTGTGAGGATGCCACAAAGCAGTCTTGTTACACTAAATATTACTAAAAGCCCAAAATAATGCACATGAATCCTTTCTCTATTTTTTTTTTTTATTCCTATATTCTCCAAATAGGATTTTTCCTGGTCATGGCAACTTAGTGAAAGAGATTTGTGAATATAAAGAGAGTTGAGTGCGAAGGGATTTATGTCAGGTCTTCTCTCCTTTACTATGTAGCCAGCTCTTAATAAAAAAAGAAAATCCTCAGGCAAAAATCTGATTAATGATATCTGATTAAGCTTTCTTTTCAGCAAGAATGAAGCAGATGTGCATAAAAATCACTAAAAGCTTTTCCCTCTCTTTTAAAGAGGCAATTCCACATGGCTTTTATAGCATGAAAATTAAAAAAGGGGGGAAAACCAACCATCAGCATAAAATGGAACTCATCAACCATGTGCTGCACCTGATTGGAAAGGCTGGATGCTCAAATTCCTCCTGGGGGATTTAATAAGGCACTTCTTAGAAACTGTTGTGTTTTTTGCAGATTATGGGCAGGGGGAATGAGTGTCAGATGCTACAAAAAAGGGACATACCCACTACTCTGACCAGTTCTGATTTATGTTCTGACCAGTTCCACCACTGCCTTTAGACACAGCCCTGGTGCCTTACTGGTGTGAAGATGCAGAGAACATTAATTTTTGGCTCGGGATCCCATCAGAGGTTCAAGAAAGGAGTCAAGCACTGCTCCTGAACATCACCCCACATCCAGCACTCACTTCAAACTCTCCTATCCCATCCAGCCTGAGGAAGAGCCACATCTCACACAGGCCAGCGGGACGGCGGGCGAGGCGAGCGATCACAAAGCTGCTGTTGGTCTCTGCAAAGCCGGTGAAGTACAGGGAATCCAGAGCCTGGGAAAAGGGAAATGCATTTCAGCTCCAGCTGGGGGCAGGAAAGGGAGGGGAGAATGTCAGCAATCCTTTGGTTTCCATGGGCTTCTGCTCAGGAATCAAATTTTGGTTTCACTTTTTGTATTTCATAGCAGGCACACCAAGAACAGCCAGGCAGCTTTAAAAGCAGCAGTGAAAGTTTAGCCAAAAGAAAGGAGAGCTCAAAAAAAATGCGATTGGGCACTGAGGGGTGCCAGGCACCGGGATGCAGGGAACTGGAGCACCTGAGGGATTGCCAGGGGGATGCAAGGGCTGGAATGCAGAGGATGCAATGGGGTAGAGGTGGTGTAGGGCCAGGGAAGTTTGAATTCAAAGGCAAAAAGGTGTTCTGAGGGAACGTAGGGATGCCGGGGATGGGAGTCG